ATTATGGCTGTCGGAACAATTAGAATAAACCGATTTTTTGGACCAGAACTAACATCTGATAAAGATCTAAAAAAAATGGTAGAGGTAGTTTTGATGTAGCGGTTAGTGAAGATGGAATTGTGATTACAAAATGGTTCGACAATAAACCAGTTTTAGTGGCTTCAAATTTTGTTGCAGCGGGAAAAATGGATTTGTGCCAGAGATGGGATAAGACGTCGAAAGAGTATATAAATGTATCTAGACCGGAAGCCATATCGCTTTACAATTCCAACATGGGTGGTGTTGATAAGTTAGATTTTTTATTGAGCGTTTACAGATCCTACAGACGATCCAGAAAATGGACTGTACGTATGATAACACATGCTATAGATATGGCGATAGTAAATTCCTGGTTGGAATATAGAAAACAAGCTGAACTGCTAGGCGTACAACACAATAAAATCCTGGATTTGTGGGACTTTAGAATGAGTATTGGGCAACACCTCATTTTACATAAGGTTCCACCAAAGAGAGGCAGACCATCTGGTCAAGAAAATACTGGTACACCAAATAATAAAAAAACCAAAACTGAAGCAAGGCCATATACTGAATTACGGTTCGACAGCTATGGACATTTTCCGAAAATAGATGAAAAAAAAGATAGTACACGTTGCAAAATGGAGAACTGTAAGGGAAAATCACATACATTTTGCGTGAAATGTAATGTTCACTTATGTTTTGTAAGCGGTCTTAACTGTTTTTTTAAATTTCATGTAAAATGATTAATTCGTTATTTACAAAGAATATTGTTTATTTCGTCATTCTAATGATATTCAAATAAATTTCTAAAATCTTCAGGTTTATTTTTATTTTGCTTCAAGTCATAATGTCCATCAACATGGACATGTCATATGCCAAGTGACGTATGACATATCAAAAAAAAATGATGTTAAAATTATCAACAAAAATAGTTTATTTTATATACCAAATATGAGAATTTTCCCATAGCTCAAAAAAAGTTGTGACTGAAAGGGTTAATATCCAATGTTAGTTTGTATTTACAATATGATCGAATGTATATTTATTAAGTAAACAAAGATCCAATCTTGGTCTTGTTTGGCTGAAAGAAGTTATTGTGATAGCCAAAATAAAAATAAAAGATTTTTAAAATTCTAGATTAAAATCTAGGATGTCTCATTCTGAATGACATACCGAGAGATAAACAGCTTTGATATCTCGTTTTCTATACTGGGTTTTTCTGTAATTTTTCAGTTATTTAGCCCTTCCGTGGTAAGAATTAAAGTAGATAATATAATAGATAAAAAATTAAATACATAGTGTAACAAACTAAATAATCTAACTTTTAATAGCAAAAAACTCAATATTTATTATCTATACAAAATTTTTTCAAACCATAACTTTTTCAATGGATTTATAAATTGGTTATGCAAAAAAAATTGAAACAATTTACAAATACAAACAATTTATAGTAAATACAAACAATTTACTGTTTTTATTTTGAGAAAATAAATAAACGTACTTTAACCTTTAATTGTGGCTTATTCCGAGTTAAATAGTAATTAATTTAAAATGCCACAAGAAAATAGTTTCAGAACAAAATTATTTACTACTTTGACTAGGGATGGCGGTTTTTGACAAAACACCGGTTTTCGGTTATACCGTTTTTTTTTGCTTACGGTTTAACCTGGCGGTTATAACCGGTAAAAAAACCGGTTTTTCCAAAAACCGGTTTTCGGTTTTTTAATCCAATAGGTTACAAAGTTACATTTACAATGCACTTTAGTTTGCAATACTTCATTCGACTCGATATCAATGTGATCAAAATTAGTACTATTGAAAGAACATCAATATCAATATAAATAAAACATAATTTTTAATAAAACCATTTTATTTTATTAATTATTATATTTATTTATTATTTTATTATTATTATATATTTATTGATTATTATCAAATATAATATTATACTACTGCTCAACAGAGAGCGCTGAAACAATTCAGGTTCTATTGTCATTGAATTTATTATGAGAGTAGAATATAATATGCAATTATTGTATTCAATTAATGATGCAAAATTAAATTTACCATTTAAAAATATAATCCTCTAAAATATCCACCAATTTTCCTCTACTCCCAAACCCAAAAAATTTCCCAACCGTTTCAACTTCTAAAAAATTTTCCAGATTCTTTCAAATGGGATTTAAAAAAAATAATATCAACATAAATATTTTACTTAAAAATAAATTGGATAATGCAATTCATCTTTTACTTTTACTACCATCAAAAAAATTGATCATGTATTACTTTTAAAACGTTTGTATATTTGTATAATAGGTACATTTTAACTCATTTAGTACTTCCTGTATTAGTGTATCGTTTTGAAAACGTAGGGAAAACCTTGGAGATTCGTATTCGAAATCGGTAATTCGATATTCATAGTCAGAACATTATTTTTGATAATCAGCAAAAGTCATTCACCCACTTTCAATGAGCAAAGTCGTACTAACGTGTTGCTATTTGGATAACCTTCTTATTAAAAAGAACAGACCAACATATCTTCTTGGAAGTGTTGATATAGAAAACGTAAGGATGGGAGAAGTTTAATGTGACTCATGGATATCGGAAAGAGAACACTTATTACCCCTCGAGCCAACACGAAGTAGAAATCTGCAAAATAACGCTAAAACAATAAGGAATAATTTTTGTACATACTTCAATACTACTGGAGCAGTTCCATGGCAATGGAACAGTACAAACTTGACACAAATTACAACGAGGAGTCTTGATATACTGAGCAGGTGCACAACAAAAAGACGAACTACAGAGTAAGTAAACTAGAGACGAACGAACTGATGAGAAAGCCAGGTTGACCAACATGCCCACACACACTCCAACTGTTTCGCCCAACATTAGGCTCCGCCCATTAAAATCAAAGACGGTTTGATTTCTTTAACTCGGTTGTTCAACTTCTTCTTGAGTCACTCAACCTGCCCACTCACAGTTCAATCTCACCATCAACACAACCAAGTTGGACAACAAGTTGAAGTGTGTATGGGGACCTTAAAGGTCTCCACAGTTATACACATAACTGACCTCAACATACTAATAAAAAACTTTAGAATATGTAGATATAGAATGTGAAGTAGCGTGATACAAAACTGTCAGCAATATGGAAAAAAGTTTCATTGCAAAATATATTACCGATGTGTGTAGTGAAACTAAAAAGTCATGTTACAAAGAGAATCAAACAGCCTTTTCAATTAAAAAAAATTATAGAAAATAGCACAGTGGTTACAAAACCAGACAAAGGTAACACTACTTTTGCTATAGATAAAATAGAATATAATAAAAAAACCATAGAATTTTTAAATAATCAAAAAATAAGCTTAAAAACAATAAGCAAAGATCTGACGAAAAAGTATCAAACACAAATTAAACTGGCGTTAAAAAATTCAAAATCAATATTAAATTTAATATAACAGAAATACCTCAATATTGTGAACTCACAACTCCTAAATACACTTATACATCTTTTATATAACTACACAAACTTGAGCACCCAATAAGACCTGTAATTTCTTTTTATACAGCTCCGTCATAGATACTTAAAAAAACTGTTAGAAATTATTTTAAAACACACTAAATTTTAACTAAATTTACCGTAGAAAAAATAATAGAACTAGTTAATAAAATAGAATATTTTCAATTACCTAACAACTCCAGATTAATTTCATTTGATGTAAAAATCGTTTTCCTAGTATTCCTTATACAGAAACTTTTGGTCTAGTAAAAAACTTTTTAGAGCATTATGTTACAAATCCAAACATTACATCTTCATTGATGGAGATACGTAGGCGATGTTCTAGTTTATTTTTCATGAATTAACAGGCAGCTTGACCAATTCTTATCGTACATTAATTCACTTCATAGTCATATTGAATTAGGTACAATAGAAACAGAACACAATCAATCCATAAATTTTCTAGATTTAAAAATTATCAGACGTAAAACAAACATGAGTTCTCTGTATTTCATAAACCTACTCACACTGGCACGACTATACACAATTCATCATCTCATCCTACACAACATAAATTGGCAACCTACCATAGCAGGTTACAGAGATTAATACAAATTCTAATGTCATAGAAACAATTTCGAGATAGAATTGAATCTTCTTTGAAACAACGAACAAAGAATAAATAAAATTTTAAATAAAAACACAGAAGTTAGTATTTCCACCATCAGAGAAAAAACTCAGTATCTTCTTCTCGATTACATATACAGACAAGATATCAACAAAAATAGCCAAACACATAAAAAAGAATAACACTAGCTTTAAGAACAAACTTAGTCAAATATATTAAAAACAACAAGAAGCAAAATAAAAAGGACTTTCGCAGTGGAGTATACAAACTTAAATGTGGCCACTGCCCAAAAATGTACATTTTTCAAACTGGCAGAACTTTTAACAAACGGATAGCAGAGCACAAAAGGGATTTCAATAATAAAAAAATACAGTTTCACCATTTATATTATAATCAATATTTTAATAACCTATTTCTAATTCTTCACATAATAAAAGCCTTCAGCTCTCTTTATTAGAATCTATGGAAATTAACAAATTAAAAAATACAGACATAATTCTGAATGACCTACAAGGGACAAACAGTTCTTCCCTCCTCTACTTATTCAGATGAAGACTATTAAGTTTAGTTAAAGAGTGTAAACGGATGCCAAAAATAGATCACTTGACAAAGACACTCTGTTGAAACAGCTTTAATAATAATCAAGTTTTGAAAACAATTATTTTCAGTGTTTTATTGTTACATTAATTGTAGTTTTTACTGACTGTTGAACTAATATCAACAGTCTTTATAATATAGTCTTTATAATCAGCAGAAAAATATTTAACAGTTATAGTACATATATAACTGTTCTTTTAAAAAGTTCACCTCTGATAGTGACATGTCTTTGAAAGTTATACGTTCTTGTTTCAGATTCCCGAGGGAACAACAGACTCTCCCCAATCACTTCTATTTCACGGATTACGAGAGGCACAACGCTGAGATTGCTGCATTCCACTTAGACAGGTATACATTTATTTTTAATATAGGAATTCATACCGGAGCTAGCCATTATTTTAAATTAAAACTCTTTAAAACAGTCATTTTTCTCATTCTTCCTTTTTATTTATCTTGTAAGTTTACTGTAGTGCGGATGTAAAACAGTATAGTTCATTCATTTTTAACACGTTATTAATCAAGAGAATTTAGAAGTAGATATTTAAAGATACTTCAAATTTGACTGATTTAAGTTAAAAAAAAATAAAACAGAATAATGTTTAACTCTCGTAAAGTAATCTTGACAAAACTAACAGCTAAATTATTTATATATAATCAAAATTGATTTTCATGTGTCCAAACTCACTCAAACCACAACATAAACATTAAAAAGGGAATTATCAAATCATTATATATGTTACGGACAAAGTGATTATGTTAGCCATTATGTATAATGCCCGGTCATTATTAATAATGACTAACTTCAGCGGGCGATTTGATAACTTTTTACAATTTATCATATTGTCTGGTCATTATGAAAAATGCTATACTATGGCCGGGCAATGTGATAAATCGGCGTTCTTAGTAAATCATGCCATCTTCAGCAGCGAATCAACGCGCTGTATCCAAGGTTACAGTCACCGAAGCGCGTCGGCCATTATTTTTAAATCATATTGCAGTTGAATATTAGTAATGGTATATACGACAAGTGGTTTGTTTGTGACATTTCTTTGTTAATTCTTTGTTTATAAAGTATTGCATAGTGAACTATGGAAAAAGAAGAACCATTAAGTGATATGAAAAATCGATTTAACAATCGGTTAACTGAATTAATTTCAGCAAAAAGTCAAAATTCACAAATTTTCCTGTGAAAGAAGAAAGAAGAAGAAGAGAAGAAAGAACTTAATTAAATAGTACGTCCATACAAAAAAAATATTTGTTACATTGCGCGATCTTCATATTGCTATCGGCATGGTGGTAGAAACCGAATGGAGAAGAAGTAGGTACATTCTAAATTTAAAAATATTACAAGGGAGATGATTGTTATCTATTTAAATTTATGCATGACCTGTCAGAAAAAACATAATGTTCCAAAGAAAGGCTTGGTGGTGAAACCAATATTGAGCAAGGAAATGAATTCAAGATGCCAAGTCGATTTAATCGATATGCAGTCACAAGCCGATGGCTGTTATAAATTTGTGCTTGTTTATCAAGACCATCTTACCAAATTTGTCCAACTTCGACCTCTTACAAGTAAAAGAGCAGAAGAAGTATCGCATGTACTTTTGGATATTTTCACAATATTTGGGCGCCGAGTGTATATATATATATATATATATATTATATATATATATATATATATATATATATATATATTGTTGTATTTTTGAATGTCCATTAGCAATAAAAACCGATATACAAATTTTATTACTTAAATAAAAATTAAGATTATTGATATTTCATAAAGATACGGGCATATAAAGTTTCAAACATCCTGTATAAGACAAAATATGTATTTTAAGTTGTTCAAAGAATTGTTCATTAGGCCTCAGAGACAAGACTTTCAAATATTATCGATAAGAAATTTAAATAAGTCGGTTATTGTGAAATGGATTTACCCGTAATAAAAGTGTATATAGAAAGTGTTTAAACAATAGACCGGGATGTGCGGTGGTTTTTCCCCCCGAAAGATTATATCGGTAAAAGTTTATTAACAAAAGACATTGAATTGAGAAACAGGTATCGTTTGTAGCTATTAGTAAGAAATATTTGTAAAGCAGATAGATTTAGTTAGAATAATTAAAGAATGTTGTTTTCTGGAATTACCCGAATGACGTTTTATAAAGAGGAGTTGATTGGTAACGATACGTCACAGAGGTGGATGATTTTGATTGGTCAATTTTTGAGTGCAAAGGAGGGAGTGGTTTTGGCTATGAGATAGGAGAGAGGAAAGGAGTTAGTCAGTTTTCGTCGCCCAAGAAGGAAGGAGCTTTGTGGTTTGTGTTTGTTTGAAGTCCCGAAGACGTAATTTACCGGGTGTGTTTATTTACTGTGTAAAAGCTGATCAGTGTGAGGAACGGGGTACATAGAGATAGAAAAACCAAAGGGTATAAGAATATTAATATCAGACGAAGCCGGAAACATTTAAAGTTATAAACAGGCGCGGAGATTGGTTCAAAAGGAGGCCGCATAGAATTACACGAGTTGTTGGGTTGCAGATACAAGGACAGATAGGAGAAAGGTGTACGTCTTCTGGACCACAATAGGAGCAGAAGCAGAGAAAGGTTTTTTTTTTCCATGGCGTGGCCATAGAATTGCAACGGCAGATAACGAAAGGTCAGTCAATTTTCATTAGAGCAGGAGTGTGGTTTTCATTTATTAATTAAATAAATTGAATAAATAATAGAGACAGTTAATTTTGCGATCATTTAAAGAAAAAAATTATAAAGAGAGCTTAGTTATAACACATATTAAAAATCAATGTAAAATAACATTTGGGTCCAGGATAGAAAACAACTTCTCATATATTTAAAGTATTATATTGCAAATATTACAGGATTGATTGTTATATAAAATTTCATTAAAATAAAGGACATCTCACATATAGTTCAGTTGAAATTCTGTGTATTTTATTCAGGTCATATTACCTATCCCAATTAGGAAGCCAATTGGAAAATATTTTGAATCCACGATCAAAGGTAAATAGTACAAGTTAAATAGCCTGAGATTGTAATTAATTAATGCTGATTTATTGTGATTAATTGGAGATTAGATCATTTAATAAATATAGACAGGATCTTTTCTAAATAAGCAATAGAATACAATTTAAATAGCATAACAAAATGGCCCCCAACGTGTAAAGCTTTGAAAAATATTTCTAGTTGGCAAATTTGAAAGGATAGGAGTAGACGAGCAGATATTTGAAAGTTTATATGCCGTGGATAAAGTGAAATATTATGTAAAATTTGAGGACATAAAGATTTATATATTTTTTTTAAGATACAATTTACCATAATTGATTTATTCGTGATATTGACAATTTATAGGTTACCATAATTGATTTATTTGTGTGATATTTACATTTGATAATTTTACCATACGTGATTTATTTGATTGAATTTGACATTTGATATTTTACCATTTGATTTATTTGTGGGATATTGAAATTTGATACTCGTACTCAAGAGTTATTACATTTGAACAAGAAAAGTCCCGTTTGTTGCAACAGACCAGTAGAATTTTATATTTGGCGGGGATAAAAACAGAATAAATGCCAAACACAAGAAACAAGAGCAAAGAGAACAAAAAACAAGAAGATAAATCAGAACAGGAAGAATATTCAGACCAGGAAGACGTATTAGACACAACAGTAATGGAGACAGAAAAACAAGAATCGGGAATAGAAAAATTAATACAAATGATGCAACTCCAATCACAGAAGATGGATGAATCACAACAAAGAACGGAACAAAAATTGGATGAATCACAACAAAGAACGGAACAAAAATTGGACAAATTGGAAGAAAACCAAAGAAAAATGGAACAAAAAATGGAAACGCGTATGGACAAATATGAAAACGAAATAAAAGTCTGTTTAGAAAGAAGTAGGAAGAAACAGAGAGGAAACTAGAGATGCAGAGAGAAGAAATGGAAACTAAAATGAAGGATATTAAGGCTGTCCATAAAAAGGAACTGGAACAGTTAGAAGAAAAATTTGAAATGGCGTTACTAGAAGACAGGAAAGAAATGGAAAGGAAACTTAAGCAAAATGAAAAACAAATTGCAGAGATGGAGATAAGAGGAGTAGAAAGAAAGGAAGTTATCGTACATAGCACAGAAGACGTAAAAGTACGATTTGGCGGGGATATAAGGAAACTACACCCAGTGCCTTTTATAAATAACCTAAAGAAAAAAGTCACATACATAGGACCGTTTGCAACAGCAAAGGAAATCATCCGAAACCATCTCAAAGAAGAGGCAAATCTTTGGTTTGTCAGCAAGGAAGAAGAATTTGACAATTGGCAAGATTTTGAGAGAAGATTCTTAAATTATTTCTGGGGAAAAATCCAGCAACTACAAGTAAATAAAGAGTTACAAAATGGAAAATACCATGAGAGGATGGGCGTATCAGAAACGATGTACGCATTACAACTCTATAATAATGCAAAACATTTGCAATATAATTATTCATCAGAACAATTGGTAGAGTTGATATCGCGACACTTTGAAGATACCTTGGAAGACCACATAAATCTCCAAAATTACAAGGACATTGACAGCTTATGTCAATTTTTGCAAATGAGAGAATCACGTAGGCATGAAAGAAGAGAAAGAAGACCGCAAGAAAATTATAGACAAAGAGAAAACCAAGAATATAGAGATAGAGGTCAAAATTTTAGAAGAGATTATCCAAGACGAGAATTCATACCTAGACGGGGATACGAAAATAGACCGAAAGGAAGCGAGAATTATGAACCCAGAACCCAGAGATGGAATGAAAACAGGGATCGGGAAAATCAGAGTAGAAATAACCGCCCATACCAAGGAAACAGATACAATAACCCACGGAATGAACAGGAATCTCGCGGTAACCGATACGGAATGATAGACCAAAAGAGAACAGAAGAGAAATAAATAATATGCAAAGAGAAGAAAATGAATATGAGAGAGAAGATGACGGGCGAGAAAACACAGAAGAACAACAGGCGTGTTTTCAAGAAGGCGCTCACTAAAAACGAAGAAACAAACAGGAATTTTTTGTCACCCCAAGGAATTTATTAAACTGGCAGGAAACAATGAAAAGAGAAATGGAGTTAATTTAAAATTTGTGGATGGATTTATAAATGAGAAACCAATTAAAATTATGATAGACACAGGCTCTGAAATAACACTGGTCAACAGAAAATTAATCGAAGAAGTAAATTTAACAAGTCTAATTTATAAAATACCTAGGGTGAATTTAGTGGGCGCAAATAAACGGACATTGGCAACAATAAATGAAGGTATACGAGTAATGGTACGATTGAAAA